GTTATATCTGAACCAGTCTGTCAGGTATCCCGTAAGGGGGGGGACTCTTCACCAAACAGATTCATAGGATCAGGGGTAATTGGATTGCCCTTTTTGGGAGGTGGAGCCAAAAACATAAGGGAGACCCCTCAAAAGGCCTTCCAACATGTTATTCCACAGCCAGCAAACTGTCAGCACCTTATAAAGGACTCACTCTAACAGTTTACAGAATAGTACTCTTTATTAATACAAATTGTGACAGGTTAATAAGGTTCATAGGTTGTCGGTGATAGTGCCTATCTGCAAAAACATAGTTAAAGCAATCTAATGATACTATAAAGCAAGCACAAGCATAAACTCTAATACAAAACAATCTACCAATATATGGTCTTTTACAAACTTTATGTTTCTATGATTCTATGATTTTAGTAGTTATGTCTTCAGCCAATCAGCAGGACCAAAATCTTACTTTAGGCAGGCTGGAGACAGCAAAAGAGAAACATCAGTAAAAACCACTCATCAGTCATTCAGTAGGTTACTATGATTTTGTATTGGGTTTGTGTGGCAAGGTTTTGGTAGTGAGGAAGGCTATAGGGCTGGCTTCTTAGAGAATCTGCTAGAAGCTTGCCCTATGTCCGATAGAGCCAATGACAGCTGGCTTCAGGACAGACCTGTCACTGGCCAAGGCCGAGCCAATCAGTGATGGTGGTAACACCTCAGTGATAACATATTTAAAAAGGGGAAAAGTTATTGTGTAGGAGCAACTGCAACCAGAGAAGAGATGAGTGAGAATATATGTGAGAGGAACAGCTCTGCAGACACCTAGGTCAGGAGAGAAGGAGGGGCAGGCGGTGCTCCTGCCACCAAAGCTGAGATTCCTGTGCAGCCCATGGTGCAGCCCATGATGAAGCAGATGTGCCCCTGCAGCCCATGGAGGTTAACGGTGGAGCAGAGATCCACTTGCAGCCCGTGGAGGACTCCACACCGGAGCAGATGAATGCCTGAAGTAGACTGTGACTCTGTGGGAAGCTCACGCTGGAGCAGGCTCCTGGCAGGACCTGTGGACCTGGGGAGAGAGGAGCCCACACTGGAGCAAGTTTTCTGGCAGGAATTGTGACCCCCTGGGGGACCCACACTGGAGCAGTTTGTGAAGAAGGTTAACCTGTGGGAAGGACTCACATTGCTACAGGGTGGTTAAGGCGGTGGCCGGTTCAATCCCTCGTGCTCAGCAGGTGCAGGTTTGAATCCCATCCTCAGCGAAAAGGAAAATTTGGACAGGGGGAGGGTGGTTCCAGCTCAGAGCACCTGCTTGGGATGTGGGAGGTGTGGGGATTGGTTCCCAACTTTTCCAGTAGTGGGACTTTGCTTTCCTCGACAAATTGGAGGACTGGGCAATCACCAACCATATGAAGTTCAACAAGATGAAGGGCTGGATTCTGCATCTGGGATGGGGCAACCCTGTATGTACACACAGACTGGGGAATGAGATGCTGGAAAGCAGTGCCATGGAAAGGGACCTGGGGGTCCTGGTCGATGGAAAGTTGAATATGAGTCAGCAATGCCCTGGCAGCCAGGAGGGCCAACCGTGTCCTGGGGTTCATTAAGCACAGCATCGCCAGCCAGTCAAGGTAGGTGATTGTCCCACTCTACTCTGCACTGGTGCAGCCTCACCTTGAATATTGTGTGCAGTTTTGGGCACCACAATATAAGAAAGATATTGAGCTATTAGAGAGCATCCAAAGGAGGGCAACGAAGATGGTGAAGGGCCTTGAGGGGAAGCCATATGAGGAGCAGCTGAGGTCACTTGGTCTGTTCAGCCTGGAGCAGACTTGAAGGGAGACCTCATCACAGTCTAACAACTTCCTTGTGAGGGGAAGTGGAGGGGCAGGCACTGATCTCTTCTCTGTGGTGACCAGTGACAGGACCTGGGGGAATGGCCTGAAATTGTGTCAGTGGAGATTTAGGTTGGATATTAGAAAGAGGTTCTTCACCCAGAGGGTGGTTGGGTACTGGAACAGGCTCCCCAGGGAAGTGGTCACAGCACCAAGCCTGACAGAGTTTAAGAAGCATTTGGATGATACTCTCAGGCACATCGTGTGACTCTTGGGGTTGGTCCTGTGCAGGGCTAAGAGTTGGACTCGATGATCCTTGTGGGTCCCTTTCAACTCAGCATATTCTGTGATTCTGTGAGAAGTTAATCTAGGACTGTGTCACATGGGGGGGACCCCACGCTGGAGCAGGGGAAGAGTCTGAAGAGTCCTTCCCCTGAGGAGGAAGGCGTGGCAGAGACAACGTGATGAACTGATGGCAACCCCCAACTCCCAGTCCCCCTGTGCCACTAAGGCTGGAGGAGGTAGAGAATTCAGAATAAAGTTAAGGCCGGGAAGAAGATGGGAAGGGAGGGAAGATGTTGAAAGATTTCATTTTATTTCTCATTATCCTACTGATGCCTGCTCAGCTGGTGCTAAGAAAAAATTCAGGAGCCGTTAATTGAGGGTGAGATAAGGAAAGTGTTTAATTGTGCCAAGGCAAAAGATGTTACACGACGTGCACTGGCTGTGCCTGAGATGTTACATTTTATAACAATATCTGTCCAATCCCAAGTGTGTCCACCCTGTTACTTTTGCCCTGATCCACCCCCTGGCCCACCCCCTGGGGAATTGAGTCTGGGGTGCATTTTGAGACCCTCTCTTCATCTATCTTCATCTTCTTCGGGGCACAGAGGGCACAGAGTCACCCAGTTCTTTGACTCTGTTCTGCGGTTTAAGCCAAGATACAAGCGTTGTCCAAAAAGGACAGGCCTTGCCTTGACAAGAGACTAAACATTTCTACGGGATACGGGGTAGGATTGATATAGGATACATGGAATGGGGTAAGAGGGTTAAGGAATTTGTAAACTAAAGGGTGCTATAGGGTGGAGGGATAGGGCTGCTGCTTTTAAAATCTACTTCTACTACTTATAAAACTTATAAAGCTTACAAAAATTAGAAAAATAAAAAACCATTAGGGGCTTAAGGCATCACTACTCTGATTTGATCAGTAATAAATGAAACTAATTTCCCCAAGTCAAGTCTGTTTTGACCATGACAGTAATTGGTGAGGGATCTCTCCCTGTCCTTATCTCAACCCCATGAGCCTTTTGTTATATTTTATCTCCCCTGTCCAGCTGAAGAGAGGGAGTGATAGAACAGCTTCGATGGGCAGTTGGCATCCTGCCAAGGTCAACTCATCACAGATTTTTCACAAATGAGAGACAGAAAAATACAAAATTGCATTATGTAGGGTCGCATAAGTTGAGCATTTTTAAAACATGAACTTTGGATGTCTCAACTTTTGAGTTGCCAATTTTAAGGGCTGATTTTCACCATCAAAAGCAGCCATTGATCTGTGTTAGAAAAAGGAGGGCTCATTTACATCAGGTCAGGCACTTAATTTGTGTAATCAAAGTTAAGTCCTTTCTTGACTGTTTGAACCCAAGCAATGTTTATTTCAGAAGTTTACAGGTGGAGGCACTTTATGCTCTCTTCAGCCTGAAACTGGGCTAATATAGAGATGCCTATTGATTATATAATGAGTAAAATATATGGGTTTCCTTTTTTTTTTTCTTAATGGCTCTACTATTTTTTTCCATTTTTTGGGAGGAAGAAAACCAACCCTCAATGACTTCTCCTTACCTCTACTTTTCTACTGCTATCTTCCAAACCCATCTGTGCTCAAGTTTTTGCCTTGTAAGGCTAGTGATCTTAGCTATGTTTTATTGCAAATAAATACCATTAACAATAATGATAGATGCAGCAGCACATCTGTTTGTAGAGATTCTTTGGGAATCTCTGTGTGGTAAAGGGTTATGGTTTGAAGGAGGGATTGTTCTTTTTCTTTAAATAATGATCACTTAGCAAATTGACTGGCTCAATAATCAAGTTAAATGCAAGCAGGACATTTTAACAGATAATCACAAAATGTTACTCTTTTTTGCTAGACTTTAAGTACATCAAATGCATAGTGTTTTACTAAATAAAGCGGTTTCATTAAAATTTAATTAAACTTTTATTTCACTACTGATTTAGTACTGTGCTTTAATGTTATGGTAGTACTTAAATTGCTTTAGATCCCTTAAATGTGAGAACTTCAGTCCTAGTTCCAGATTTGCTTCTGCTTCCATTGTTTTGTACTGTGAGACTCTAAATAAGGCAGACTCTCATATAAAAATGTAGTTTATTGATGACTCTGTTTTCTCCACTTTAAAAATGTTGGTGCCACCACATCTCTAGATATAGAGATATTAAAATAATAGGAAAGTTAACATTTAAGAAATTAATTAGCTACAGTAGGCTTACTATAATGAAACTGGAATGTAAAATATATCTCCCAGTTCCCTCTGATACTGAAAAGTGGCAGAAACAAACTTCTTAACACCAATTTGTAGATGTTATAAAGGGCATTCTTCTTTATTCAGCATGATGGACATTCAGAGGATAGCTCCTCTAATTGAATGTGCCAAATGGCAGATGGACAGGGCTTTTTATTACACATACTGTTTACATATTAATTAGATATTCTTGCTTACTTAATACATATTCATTTGCTTGCTTTACATAGTCACTTCCCTATTGGAAGTCCTTCTTTGGTCCTTCCAGGTCTTCTTCGTCATCTTTACCTCAGTTCTGGAGCAGGCACAGTGTCATTGTGTTTCACCACCAAAAACTGTTACGTTTGTTCTTTATTTTATCTTGTTTGGGTACATAGAGCTTAGTTTACATCCTGTTTTTTTGAGTACATCCCTTATCTAATTCTCGAGGACTTCTCTAAGATTATATTGTTCCTTATTTGGGCATTGCGGGATACTGTGAGTAAAGTTTCTATTTCTCCTATCACCTCAGGGAGAAGCTTGAAAGGATCTGATGAGTAAACATGATAAATAGATGAATGGGTGAGATTGAAAAGAGTCTTTATCCTTTATAAAGCCAATGCCATAAATTGAGCTTAGTAATTACTTCGCTTCTCTTGTGATTGATCTCTAGGCAGCAGTTGTGGTGGTATTCAACTTTGCTATGGTTTTGCTGATTTTTCCTGCTATCCTGAGTATGGACCTTTATCGTCGGGAAGACAGGAGACTGGATATATTCTGCTGTTTTACAAGGTGAGAATGCGTGATAGAATTACAGTATATGAGGTGTATCTTTTTTGTGATCACCACTCAGCGCTACTATCTCTTGTCAGGAGTGGGAGTTCATTGCAGCAGGGTAGCAGCAGGGTCAGTATGCTACTGTCATGGTTTTAGTGCTGAATTATATTTGCTATACACACACATTCATACATACATCCATTTTAGCCATTGAAGGACAACTTTCTGGGAGCATGTAAAAGAGCCATGCTTTAGTAATATTTGTCTTTTTAGAATTTAATGGGATACTGCAGTGTGTCTAGTGCTGGTATTGGTAAACCTTGGAAGACTTAATTCTGGTCTCTTATGGAAGACTGTAAATAACTTGGGGTACTAAGAAGCCTTAATCACTCTGTGCTAATTTTTTTTGCTTTTTATGCCTTGAAACTTAAATGCATAAAAATAATGTAAAAACTTTAAAATTACTTCTCTTTAGCCAAATTTTTTCATAGGACTGTGAGGAATTCAGAATGATCAGTGCCATTGCAAGATAATGACTGATAATCTTTCTGCTATGGCTCTAATAGTAATTTAGAATGATAGTATGCACACTCTTACCTAATACACATCCAACTCTGAGATCGGGGTAGGCTAGGAGGAAGCTACTGTCATAATCAGAACCACCGCTTAGAGATAAAACATATTTTCTACATTAGTTTTTATTTTTGCCTGTAATGAAGAGGATAAGCTACATTTCTATTTGTGTACTCTCACATGCATGGCATGTCATAACCAGGATGTAGAGAAACCCCTTTGTGTCCTCTTAGCTTTTCGCACCCATGTAAGAGCCGACACAGTCTGACCTTTTTTAACTTTGATGTCAGAGAGAAAAAGTACTTTCCTAAATTTGCTTTTGAGGGAGTCATTAGAACAGGGAGTTGATCACAAGTCAGGACTCCTGCTTTCTGTTTCTGATTCAGCCGTAGTTTCACTGTATGGTCTAATGTGCTTGAATTTTGGAGCCCAGATTCTTACAAGTACAGGGCTGTCAGGCCTTCCCTTTATTCCTACATTGAGTTGGACCAAATGTGAATCAGAATTTGGGCCCATGTACATATGAAGAAATTCAGTTAATAAGAGCTTGTTTGTTTAGGTAGGCAACATTTTCTTCCTTTTTGTAGGATTTTTCCACTTGGTGAAAAATCTCTGATACTGTTTTCTATCAGCAATTTGTTTTTATTTACAGAAGGAAGCTTATTTACGACATTTTTTTGCCTGTCCTTCCTGGGAATTAATCCTCGTATGTGTTTACATCAACTTTAAAATAGGCAGTCAGTGTATGGCAAATGGTTTCAATCTGCCTCCCAAAAGTCTGAGATCTTTTCCAGAAGGTCCAAATATTATTTAACAGTTACTTTAATAGTTCTAAACAGAAGAATTCAGCATGTCATGCATTTACATTTTGATTTTCTAAATAGTTTAATTCTCATCATGGTCATGTAGATGTAATCATATATCATGCATTCAGACTGTGTGCAACTACCTGGTTATTGACCTGATTAGTATGTGTAATTAATAGAGCGATGTAAGTGGATGCCAGTGTCTTCAGACAAATGCTGGTTCCTTCTTTCTTGGGCACAAGAAACATGCAGAAACAGGCTCAGAGGCCTATGCTTTAAACCACAACCAAGAAATATTTCCTACAAGTGCAGAAGGAAATCCTCATCAAAATATTATGCTTAATTAACATAAACATTTTACAGTAGTAGAAGCGGTCTTTGATGGAAGCAGATTATCCTATCTATCCTGATTGAAACAAATACCTATCAAAATGCAAACTATGTTTTTCTCTTCTCTTGCAGTCCGTGTGCCACTAGAGTGATTCAGATTGAGCCTCAAGCATATGTGGAAAACAGGGATAATACTTGCTACAGTACACCCCCATACAGCAGTCAAAGTTTTGTACATGAAACTCAGATTACAATGCAGTCTACACTGCAGTTACACACAGAATACGATCCTCGTGCACAGGTGTACTACACCACAGCAGAGCCTTGCTCAGCAATATCTGTGCAGCCGGTGACAGTGACACAAGATAATATCAGCTGCCAGAGCCCAGAAAGCACAAACTCAACAAGAGATTTGCTTTCCCAATTCTCAGACTCCAGTATGCATTGCCTCGAGCCACCCTGTACTAAATGGACACTCTCATCTTTTTCAGAAAAGCATTATGCTCCATTCCTGCTAAAACCAAAAGCTAAGGTAATCAGAAAACTATTTACCTGTTTTTCAAAAATAGACTTCTGCCTTGCCCAGTAGGGAAATCATCCTGACAATAGTATTAAATATCAGCAAAAAATAGAATTATTTTGGAATTACAATTCTTAATATTTTTATACCTAATTTCACACTTTAAAAGTTTTATCTTGGTAGTGCTATAATGACATACTTTTCAAATGTAACTTCAAATTTACTTTTTAACTTCATCACCATATAAATTTCCTGCTCACTAAAACACTAATTAGTTTGGCCTTGTAGTGTGTGTGTGCATAAAGATATAAAAGCTTAAAAGTATAGTATTGGGGATTAATTTTGAACCTGGTTCTGTGTGCTATTATGAGTTATTAATTTCTTTAAGAACATAAAACCAAAGGTGTTTCCATTTTCTGTTGCAGATTGTGGTTATTTTTCTTTTTCTGGGTTTACTTGGGCTCAGCCTTTATGGAACTACCCAGGCTAGAGATGGACTGAATCTCACAGATATTGTACCACGAGAAACCCAGGATTATGATTTTATTGCAGCACAGTTCAAGTATTTCTCATTTTACAATATTTATATAGTAACACAGAAAGCAGACTATCCCAGTCCCCATGTCCAGCACTTACTTTATGAACTTCACAAAAGTTTCAGTAATGTGACATACATTTTGTTGGAAGAGGATAAGCAGCTTCCCAAAATGTGGTTGCACTACTTTCGAGACTGGCTGCAAGGTAAGAGAGAATTGCATGAACTTTTCTTTTTAATTATACAGTAGAAAACAATTATTCACTGTAGTAATGACCTTCTCTTCCAATACAGTCACATGCTTTAAAGTATGTCCAGGTTCTGCTCTGAACTCAGACATCGATTCACTGTTTCTCTAACAGTTCACTTAAATTCTTTGTGGCTAAATTTACTCCCCAATAAAGCAGTTTTGAAGCTTTAAAAGATTATATCCATGAGAGTTCATCTCATGTCATTAATTTCTAAGTGGCTAATGAGGAGTTCTGCTTTATAATTAATGGCCAAACATGGCCCAGTTTCTTGGGAAGATAAATGTTTGCTGAGTGTTTTGAGAATAGTAAATGAAAAGTCCTGGTCTAGCAATGTATTTTGGCACAGGCTTAACTTTCAGCATGAGTGATCCTGTTAGCTTCAGCTGGGATTGCTGACATGAAGAAAGTTCAGTGGGGCTTTGCGATGGACTAAATATGCACTCAGACAGCAAGTTGGCAGGCAAGGATTTTATTATAAACAAACTCGTTCTTTTTATCCCCTTTTCCTCTGTCCACACGCCTGTATTTCATCTCTAAATTGATTTCTTGCTTTTGTTCATGTGCCTTATCTCACCTCCTGATAGGTAGTTGGCATCTCTTCTCATGTTCAAACACATCCTTCTATCTGCAGCTGTTTTTCTTCTTTTTCTCACTCCCTCCTTGATGTTTACTCTTTTGCAAGGTTACAGCTGTAGCTGATCAAGGTCAAAACTGCCCACGGCCCAGCCATCTGATACAGGGCTTAGGCATTTTATTGGATTAGGAGATTACTAAACATTCTAGACTTCCAATCAAGTATCCTCACTTTTTCTATGGTGCTACCTTTTCTGTGCTGAACTGTAACTGGGAGGGGGGTGTTATAGGTAGTATGATGATAATTATATTAAAATGGGCTTATTAAAGGCATGATATTATATTTGTGTTGAGGCAAATAATTCTTTTGTATTTAAAATATATAGTAATGTTACATCTCAGAAAATGTAACAGTTCTCTCTTGTGAGCAAACACATCCTGCCTGGAAATACTTCTGTCCTACCTCTGTCTCTGTGTTGGAAGAATCTTCAGGAAGCTTTTGCAAACAAAAATAAAGTGTGCTGACCTACTGAGACTGTAAATTTTAAACTTAACTGTTTACAGATGGCCAACGCAGCCAATAATTCTTAGAAAACATGCACATAACTGCCAGTATTTGGAGTGCCTTCAGCTTAATGCATCTCTTTTTTCAGAGGTTCACTTGTACTTTGCTTCCTAGTATCAAATCATGTTAACATTTTCTATTATCTGAAAATGCAACAGAAGACAGTTAACATTAATCATTCATTTAAACTGGAAATGTTAACATTACTTTTGTAAGTGACTGAATGTAAATATGGTAGCTTAAGTGTAGCACTTGTATGGGCACGAACCCAGCTTGCACACGTTTGTGCTATAACTGAATTAAGTCTATTACAAAGAACACCAGCTTAAATACAATGTTCAAACTGTACCACGTGATCTACAGCCAATCACACCAAGGCACTCCACTGCACGTCTGATAGTCCTAGAGAACTACAAGTCCCAGAATGCCTTTCAGTATATTTCCTGTAATATGAATCCCACATCTCCCCTCTCTTTATTATAACAAGTTACAGAACATTACAATTTTGTAGAATAGTATATTTTTAAACCTTTTAAACCCTTTTTAACAATCTCTATTATAACACAGTAATTTAACCCACTGCTTTACTTTTGTAGATCCAGGTCTTTCAACAAGTAGGCTCACTTAAGACTTCTCTTCTAGGGTTTTTGGAGTTAATTTAATAGGAACTTTAACTTTTTTTTTTTAAGGGTATGTATGTAATTGGTAGAAGCATCAACTTTATTTTTCTGAGGGATTTTGTGCAACCAGGAGAAATTCAACTTTATTTCAAGGAAAGGGGTTTTGGAGAATAAGTGTTGTGTTATCTACTTTTCTCTGCTAGGACAAGGTGGCTGAGGTAGTGTTTGTTATGCAAGTGTAATTTGCTCAAGGCACATGAAGCACGAAGTATTTCTAAGTCTACATACATACATGTCCACACAGCTTCTCTCATTTATACAGTTTTCACATTCATACATAAGTGGCCACTTCAGTCATTCTTCACTCATGCATATTTAGAATTTTTATTATGCTTTTACATTTCAACTACACATTTTAGATTTATAAGTGATTATTGGTTGTATGCTTCTTAGTCTGTCATTTCTGGTAGTCATGTCCAGCAATTGTACTTGTTTTGAAAAGGAATTAATATGAGGAATATGAGGTCTAACAAACCTAAATGATGTCTTACCTGATGTCTTCCCCCCCTTTTTTTGTTTTGAAACACGTTTGGTGTGCAGCGTGCTCTCTTGACAATAGCCTGTTTTATGAGTGAGTCTTGTTTAGAAAATCAAAAGCTAATGAATTCAAAGATACATAAACAAGTTACCATTACAATCTGCTAACACAGCTTGAAATCCAGTGTCCTTTGTAAGACATCAGTCTACGCTGTCTTTAGACAATCCTTCCTAGGCTTGTAAGCTGTATTTGGAGAGGCTGAATAAGGAATTTTAGGAGGTGTCAGGTGTTGCTGGTCATGATAGAGTCAAACCACATGGGAAGTGCTGACATTCTCTCTTCCATGCTGGCCTGGGGGTCTGGAATGCAGTCTTCAGGGTTTTGTTCATTTATCTCTTGTAGTTGTTCTTTACCTTTAAAAACAATCTTAGCAAACGTTAATAACAGTTCAGTCAGTTTTTGATGGAAAATGGACAGGAACAGGTGTGAGTCTGCAGTTTTTCTGTAGTTATGTCCAGGATTGGTCAAAGTTGGTTAATACTTTGAAGCAATAGCGGCAAGTCATTTTGTGTTATAGTGTCTTTTACTTCAAAGTTGAAGGTTTAGGGATGGTCTTTGTGCAATCTTCTCTATTGTAGACAGTTTCATGGTTGAGTGTATGAGATTTCTTTTAGAGTGTTTTGCAGCCTCGTTTCTCAAATTATATTGGTTAGAACAATTATAGTTAGCTTTAACTCAGTCTCTTAGGCAACTATTTTTGTATTTTTGTTGATCTTATGCACACCTTTTTGGGATAACAATATTTGAATGTATTAATTAACAAGGTATGGAGATGCTTAAGAACTTTTTAAACACGTTATCAGAACAAAATTATTTTAACAACCGATGTAGATGCATTTAAGAACTTTCAACAACCCAAAGTTATAGGAACTGGTGAGAAAACAGGGAAATAAAAAAAACTTTTAAGTTTCAGTTTTCTGGGGCAATGAAAGTTTTATAGTTCAGCAACTGCAGTCTTGGCAGCTTTGCCACGCTGTTGAACACTGCAGCCCCGGCTTGGCTGTACGACCCCCCTGCCGCAGGCGGCGGGGGCCGTCTCTGTCCCGGCGCGATGCTGGTTCCGTGCGGTGCCCCGCTTGGGGGCCACACTCGCTCTTCTCTTTGCTCGCGGCCGGCTTGCGCAGGGCCCTGTTAAGCGTTTGTAGTCTGCGCTGCTTCGGCCCGGTGCGCCCTGGTCTCATTGCGGCCCCGGACCCAGCGCGGCCCCGGTTCTCTCTCGACACGGTCAGCCACTGCCTCGGCCCCGGACAGCACTCGCCTGGCCATGTCCCTGCGCTTGCTCTGCCGCCGCCGCTGCTGGCGGCTGCGCCCCCAGCCCCCCGCAAATCAGGCTCAGGTCTGCGAGTCCTTACACCCTGCCCAAGTCGGCGGGGCCCACGCTGCGTGGCGGCGCTGGCGTTGCCGCACCGCTCCCGCAGTGCGGGGGGGCCGGGCCTTGCCTCTGCTGTCGCGGCTGAGCGGGCAGGTCTGGGTCGGGCCAGGCCCAGCCCCTCTCCCTTGTTTCAGTTGGAGCCACCGCCCCATCGCCCCGCTCCAGCCCCGGGGCTGCGTCAGGCTCCCGCCCTGCCTCCGCTCTTGCTGAAGTCGTTGCTGCTGTTGGCAACCACCGGTCCGGGCTCCGTGTCTTCTTGTGAGCGCAGGGGGAGGACGAGCCAGCTCCCGTATCCGCCATCTTGGTCTCCATGGCAACAGTCACCGTGCCAACACACTCGGTCCCCAGTAGGGGCATATAAGAAAATGGCCGCGGGACCAGAAGAGATGAGCTTTTCCCGGCCGTGCGGCCAGGGCAAAATGGCTGCGCCCACGCAACCACGTGGTCTTCACGTGGCTGCAATTCCACAGCAGCTCCACGGTAAGACTTATCCTGCATGCATTCCTCATCTCGTGGCGGGAATCTAATAACTGTCTCTCCGCAACATCCTTGCGGCCCAAACCATGCACTCGCACTCTGGAGCCCACGCGCCCGCGAAAACCTGGCACAGAACTACCGCTTGTAATATCTCCCTCTTGCTCCCAGCCGCGGGGATATAGTGCCGATCCCAACCATATATTTTCTCCTTCCCATATTTTTTCCTCCCGTATTCCTGGCAGTTCCCCCCCACCTCTGTGTCTTTGCCCAGTGTCTAAGGGGTTTGTGGGGGGGCAGGAGGGTCAGTTTCCGCAGATGAATTTGAATTTCTTTGTGTAGTCTTTAAAGCATCCACAGTTTTTGTCCATGTGGCTAAATTTCTAAAGGCTTCCATGTCTCCCAAAGTTGCTTTTTCTCTCTTCATTTTCTTAACTTTTTACCAAACAGTCACATTAAGAGTCCTTGCTGGCGGGAATCTCGGTATTGCTATGGTAATACGTATTAATAACGCCAGCAGTTTTTTCCCTGTTATATAATTTTTCTGCATTTTTAAAATTTGATGAATGACTTCAGCTTTTTCCTCCATTTTCTGTGAAAACCTCCCTTTGGGAACACCTCCCTGCCACCCTGAAAGATTACTTTTGGTCGCTGAAGCTGAGTTTTCTTCCTTTTTTCCTTTTTAGTCATTTTTCCTATCTTTCCAAAGGTAACTGCTTCTGTGGAGAGCTTTCTCTTTTTCCTTTGAATGCTTTTGGGATGGATGCTACTGGCAAGACGTCCCAAGACCTTTTTGGTCTCTGGTTTCCGACGCTTGTTCAAGTCCCTGTTCGGGTGCCATTTGTGGCACCTGTCTTGCATGAACTCAATTACTCACATGTAGGTGCAGTAACTGAATTAAGTTTATTACAAAGAACACCAGCTTAAATACAATGTTCAAACTGTACCACGTGATCTACAGCCAATCACACCTAGGCACTCCACTGCACGTCTGATAGAGTCCTAGAGAACTACAAGTCCCAGAATGCCTTTCAGCATATTTCCTGTAATATGAATCCCACACTTAAGTTCCCTAATGACTCTTAATTACGCTTGTTTTTGCAAAGGGCAATCTTGTCCACTGTTCACATGACTTAATACGAATTCCTTCCTCACTCCCATTATATCATCGAACATACTTTTGGAGGATTTTACATTCATTGCCTTAGCTTATATAATTTCTTTGCAGAGTCAACAATTTACTTTCATCTTTCTGCCCAGAAACATTTCATTAATTACATCTATCTTTAAAACAGATTAAAAGGCTTTAAAAATCATTGGTGTGAACAATTTATAATAAAAATATTGTTGTTCTGCTATTAATTTCAAAGTGTTATAAGGAATTTTTATTAGTGAAATTTTTAAATCCTTTAGAAAGTAAGCACAACTGATAGAGGTTTCTTGGTTTTCTTTCTGCAGACTTCCAGTTTCATCGGTGTACAAGGCCAGTAATAAAATGACCCAATGTGTAAAGTGGTTAAGCCAGTTGAGAAATAAAGATATAAAAAGAGAGCTGAATTTGAGTGATGGTCAAACCTGAAAGAACTGTAGCATACATTGGAGGGGAAAAAAGAAGTGAAAGAGATAAGTTTTCACATACTGTAGTAATGTAAAATGTAACTTGCAACCACAAATTGGTAATTCTGCGTGCAAATGCCTATATTTGGTATTGTGTCTGCTTAGCTCTGTGTCAGGAGTTTGATATTAGTCTGAAAGTTCTGCCTCCAAATATTGTCTAGCATAGCAACTTGTCTGCTCCTCTTAAGTTGTCCTTTGAAGGTCTCTTCTTTTATCCTGAATTCTTCAACAGCCTCCTCTTAATTCCCAAAGTGATCTTTTACATGACTATTATGATAGCACAAATGCTTTCACTTAACCACTTTCTAAGAGATTGAAACAGAGTTAGAGCTGTATTCAGGAAGGATGGATTTGTTTATAAGCACTGCACAGAATCCCAGAGTAGCTGAGATTGGAAGGGACCTCTGGAAGTCATCTGGTCCAACCCATGCTCAACCTCAAGTCAGTTTCCCAGGACTATATTCAAGTGGCTTTTGAATATCTCCAAGGAGGGAGACTCCACAACCAGTGCTCATTTACCCTCACATTGAAAAAGGGTTTCCTTATGTTCAGATGGCACTCCTGTGTTTCACTTTGTGCCCATTGCCTCTGGTCCTGTCACTGGGCACCACTGAAAAGAGCCTGGCTCTGTGTTTTTTGCACTCCCACTTCAGGTATTTAAATATATTGATGAGATATCCCCCAAACCTTCTCTTCTCCAGGCTAAACAGTCCCAGCTTTCTTAGCCTTTCCTCATATGTGAGGTGCTCCAGTCCCTTAAACACCTTTGTGGTCCTGTGCTGGATTCTCTCCAAGTAGCTCCATATCTCTCTTGTACTGGGGGCCCAGAACTGTACAAGGCATTCCAGGTATGGCCTCACCAGGCAGAAAAGGACCTGGGAGTTTGGACTGACAGGAAGCTGAACGTGAGCCAGCAGTGTGCCCAGGTGGCCAAAAAGGCCAATGGCATCCTGGCCTGTATCAGGAACAGTGTGGCCAGCAGATCTGGGGAAGTGATTCTTCCCCTGTACTCAGCGCTGGTGAGGCCACACCTGGAGTACTGTGTCCACTTCTGGGCTCCTCAGTTCAGGAAGGATGTCAAGGTGCTGGAGCAGGTCCAGAGAAGAGCAACGAGGCTGGTGAAGGGACTCGAGCACAAGTCCTATGAGGAGAGGCTGAGGGAGCTGGGGTTGTTTAGCCTGGAGAAGAGAAGGCTCAGGGGAGACCTCATCACTCTACAACTACCTGAAAGGAGGTTGTAGCCAGGTGGGGGTTGGTCTCTTCTCCCAGGCAGCTATCAGTAAGACAAGAGGGCATGGTCTTAAGCTCTGCTAGGGGAGGTTTAGGTTAGATATTAGGAAGAAATTCTTTACAGAGAGGGTAATCAGGCATTGGAATGGGTTGCCCAGGGAAGTGGTGGATTCTCCATCCCTGGAGGTTTTTAAGATGAGACTGGATGTGGCACTTAGTGCCATGGTCTAGTAACCATGGTGGTAGTGGATCAAGGGTTGAACTTGATGATCTCAGAGGTCTTTTCCAATCCGGCTGATTCTATGATTCTGTGATTCTATGAGTAGAGGGGAAGGATCACCTCCCTCAACCTACTGGCAATACTTTGTCTAATACAGCCCAGGATACCATTAGCCATCTTTGCAGCAAGGGCACACTGCTGGCTCATGTTCAACTTGGTGTCCACCTTTTCTGCAAAGATGCTTTCCAGCTGGGCAGCCCCCAGAATGTACTGGTGCCTGGGGTTGTTCCTTCCCAGGGGCAGAACTTTGCACTTCTCCTTGTTGAACTGCATGAGGTTCCTGTCAGCCCATTTCTGCAGCTTGTCAAGGTCCCTCTGGATGGCAGCACAACACTGGTGTATCAGCCACTCCTCCTAGTTTTATGTCATCAGCAAACTTGTTGAGGGTACACTCTGCCTCATCATCCAGATCATTCATTAAGATGTTAAACTGGACTGGACTCAATAATGACTCTGGGGGTACACTGCTAGTTACTGGCCTCCAACTAGACTTCATACCACTAATCACCACCATCTGGGCCCAGCCATTTGGCTAGTTTCCAACCCACTTTACTGTCTACTCATCCAGCCCATACTTCAACAGCTTCTCTATGACGATCTTAAGGGAGACAGAGTCAAAAGTCTTTCTCAACTCAAGATAGACAATATCTTCCCTTGTCTACTAAGCCAGTCATTTCATTGTAGAAGGTTATCAGGTTGATCAACTGTGACTTTCCCTTGGTGAAGCCATGCTGACTGCTCCCGGTTACCTTCTTGTCCTTTATATGCCTGGAATGGTTTCCAGGATTAGCTGTTCTATCACCTTCCCAGGGATCAAGGTGAGGCTGACTGGCCTGTAGTTCCCTGGGTCTTCCTTCTGGCCTTTCTTGAAGATAGAAGTGACGTTTCCTTTCCTCCAGTCCTCAGATACTCCTCCCAATCTCCATGATCATTCAGTCATTATAAGAGAGGGTGGCCTCACACTCCCTAAATAATATTTTCCCCACTCCTAGGGTAGCAACAAACAGCATTTTCTTAAAGGGGACTTTGAAGTCCCTTGAACGATGACAGAATATCTACTGTTAAATCATCATCCTCTTTCTGGGCAGGATCTGAAGGGCTGCATATAGCAAGTTTGGCAGGCTTATTTTATCGCTTTGTTCTCAGCTTGTCAAGTGGGTATGATTTTGTAGGATGACCTGGGAGGCAGTTTTCTAGGGGAGAAGGGAAGAATTTATAAATGGGAATGAATACTCAGGCCCTGAGGTGGTGTCAGTAAAGTTGTGTAGAAAACAACACTACAACACTCTTATCTCCTTACAGCTGTGGCTAGCCTATCTTATCTGTAATGATGATGTTCATTACAGCTCCCCAGTGCAGCTGTGAGGTGGGTTGGTGATTTCCACCACCACCCCATCCCCAGCCTTTTCCTTCCCTTCTTTGAACGTGAAGTTTGTGATCTGTTCTCACAGAACCTCCTTGTACTGGATTGTGGCTTTCTGTTCTAAATCTGACCCAGATTTGTGCTGTGAGGTATTCCTTCCCCTTTAAAGAGTGGCAAAGAGGAAAATAACAGTTGAGAGTGAGTAGCTGTTGGCTGCGATCTTTACATGTGCTGGTAGCAGATCCTATGACTTGTATTGGGTACACAATTTTAACAGATAGAACAAATTGAGTACTCATACTGTGCTCAAAAAGCAGCTGTTTGCTTGAAGATGAAAGTTTGAGTGTGGTGGGCTTTTTTCCCTTGTAGTAGAATTTCTGGTTGTATCATAGAAATTATTGTCTTGGTCCTCTGCAGTAGCCCCAGACAGTTAATGGGTGGGCTGTGTCCCGTTCTGTGGTTGAATGTGCTTTTGGTGAGGGAGGAGGGATTATGGAGACTGTATTTCTCTTCTGGTTAGTGGACTAAATCTCTGCCTGATTTTAACTCCACGGTAGCCAGTGAGGTTAAATCAGGGCTGAACTCAGCCCCTTCTGTTTTCACACCATGTCAGGGTGATATTTCAGCTTTGTTTTGAGGAGGGTGTAAATGAAAGAGTAATTATTGTGGTTTAACCCCAACTGGAAAATAAGCACCACACAACCACTCATTCACACCCTCCCCCCTTGGTGGGATGGGGGAGAGAATCAGATGAGTAAAACTGAGAAAACTCGTGGGTTGAGATCAAGACAGTTTAATAATTGAGTTTCGATCAGTCCATGGCAGATGGTAGGACTGTGTTTCCACTGCTGAGACAGTTGATTACAGGTACACTGGACACCCCTCCAAGTGAAAGCAAACTGTGGCCTGCACTCTGCCACCAAAAGGCTTGAGAAAAACGCATTAGAGATATCCATTGTGGCACCACTTGGCTGCCTTTGACTCCAGCTCATATTGAAGTTCCAACACATCTGGTACGGCAGCACTCAGAGGCGGCGTGACTTCATTCAGGTCACGATAGTCCACTGTCAGTCTCCATTCTCCGTTAGACTTTCACACTGGCCATATGGGGCTGTGTGCTGGTTTAAAAGTTAACCATCAGGGGAAATGAACTCAACTCAAAAGAGAGATTATAAGTCAGAATAACAATTTATTAAAATAATACAATAAGTACAATTATACAGACAGACAAGTGGTTTTAACCCACAAAACCCAAATGTATAACCCAGCACCCTGGGGCATGAACAAAAGTGGTGTTCCTTGGCCCCCCCCGAGTCCAAAGTAAAGGGAGAGGGGAAAAACCTGCTGGTGGGAGAGCTGCTGCAGTCTGGTCAGAAAGTGGTGATTGCAGTCCAGTCGAGGGTGGTGGTCTCAGTCTGGTTGAGAGCGGTGAGCTGCAGTCTTCCTCTGGATCCCACGAGTGGTGCCAAGGTTCCGAAACTCCCAGTTTATATATTCTCCTGTTCAGGCGGGAGTGCTCAGTCCCTCCCTCAGAGAGGGGAATTCCATAAAAGGGTATCAGAGCGGGGAATTCCATAAAAGGGTATGAGGACAGGAACATCTTCCCACCTCGCAGGCCTCTACTGACAACAGTTTTTTGGGAAATGGCATGGAAGGCTATAGAATACACAGTTTTGGGTTACACCCATCCAGTGATGAATTGGTCCCAGCCGTTCTAACCAGGACAGGCTGTTAAAGGGTGAGCGAGTCCTGCTGATCACTCCTTGGCTCTTGAGTTGACAAATCAGCTTATGGATGAGAATCAGGGAGTGTCACCGGTGCACCGTTGTGGTAGCAATTGGCACCTGTTCCTCTTCGACCCTCAGCAACCCCACAAATAGAAGGATCCTCCAAGAGACCAGGCAAGGTAGACAGCTGTTTAATTTTTTCCATCTCCAAGGCAGCTATACAGAAAGCCCACTGGTAGCCTTTGAGGTCCTTGAAATACCCTCTCCTGAGATAGTCTATGCCAGGAATGCACAGAGCCTCTGGTCCAGTCACAATGGGGTGCTTTTACCACTCATTTCCAGTCAGATTTACTTCAGCCTCCAATAGAGTCAGCTCTTGGGATCCCCTGTCACTCCAGAAATACAAATGGGTTCTGCCCCGTATAGCTTGATGGTGTTAGGGTACGCTGTGCACCAATATCTACTAGAGCCTTGTACTCCTGTGGATCTGATGTGCCAGGCCATCAGATTCACCCCATGCAGTAAATCCAGTTGTCCCTCTCCTCCACCTGGCTTGAGGCAGGGCCCCTCTAGTCCTGGTCATAGGATTCTCCATTTACTTCTTGTAGAAATGGATTAGAATTCCTTTCCATAGGATCAGTCCTTCCACTCTGCCTGGGGAACTGTCCAATGGAGACTTGAGCAGCAACTTTCCTGGAAGAACCCTCATTTGTGGTTGTTTTTCCTTGCAATTCACATACTCGTGCATCTAGGATTGAGGTAGGTTTTCCATCCCACTTCCTCATGTCCTCTCCATGGTCCTGCAGGTAAAAACCACAGGGTACCCTAAGGGGCATACCCAGTATATCCTCCCTCTTATGCAAAAGGACACTTTTAATAGCTGAGATACGTGTCTGTACAGGTGGGGAGTAGACTCCTGGGACAGTTTCTTCACAGCTGAGACAATGGAGGAAGAGTGATTTTCTTTGTATTCCCGAAGTTGGTGAGCCACTTCATCCACTGTCGGTGCCTCTTCATCTCTCCAGGTCATTACTGCCAGTGGGTTGGCACACGACAATGGTGTGTTCTGTACAAATTTCTGTCACATGGGTTGTGTGCATTGGACTTTGTCTGGATCTGTGGATGACTGCGCATTGTTTGGGTCAAAATAAATCATCTCTAGCATGACTAATTCCTCCAGATCCTGGATACCTTTCTCTACTCCTGTCCATTTGCCTGGGCAACATATATCTTCCTTGAAGGGATACTTTTCCTTCACACTTGACAGGAGTCACCTCCAGAGACCGAGGACTTGTGTCCCTTTTCCAATCACCTTCCATAGAAAGTGATCCCAACTGCTTGGTTTCCTTACCCTCTAATTCCAAACTGCTAGCCCCGTTGTCCCCACATTGGAGCAGCCAGGTGATAATGTGCTCAGCTGGACAACATCTGAAATCTTTTTGCATATCCTGCAGCTCAATCAGGAATAGGGATTGAGTGGTTACCTCTTGTTCTGCCTCTTCCTCCTGTTCTTGTGATGGCTCTGCTTTGTCCTCTTTTACTAAATGAGATGTCTCTCTTGTCCATTTCTTCTTGTGTACAGGGGCAAGTGATACCAACGCAGGTTGGTTCTCTGGTTCAGCTGCATCATCCATCACTAGGGTCTGAGTAGCTGTAAGTGGTTGTCGCAGGGTTCCGAGTAGCTGCAATGCCTGTCACAGGGATTGGCATAGCCACAGATAGTTGCTTAACCCTAAACAAGATCTGAAGCACATTCAGCATTCCTAGCAATAGGACCAGAACCAGAAATAGGCTAGTTTCCACAACCTAGAAATATTAAAAATTTTCAAAATTCTCAGATGGTTCTGTAATTAGCCTGGAGGAGAAGGAGAAGATGTAAGAAAATGTCTCCCCCATAGGTCAGTTCTCCGAGGAGAAAAGGCAAAAGGGTAATTATTAACAGTTTGCAATAGATGACTCCTGAAGTACAGAGGTGATGGCAATGCTGAGTGAACATACCAGCAATTCTATCATATCACAAGCCAGTATTACAAAGTACAACAAAACAAGAAACTTAGCCCAGACCCCAGAGATGACAAATACCAAAACAGGAAACACATGCTCCAAGTAAGTAGGTACATAATATAACTGAGAACAAGCACAACAACTCTTTGAGAAAATAAATCAACATTGTGACCAATGACTATTAAACCAATACAATGAATGCTTATAACAAATTTGTTTTAACATGCTCTGGTCAAATCCGTCATTATCTCAACCCTTCATTAGGCACCAAAAAGGACTGTCAACTCCAGTCGGCAACTAAGTACCATACATAAGATCGCTCACTCCCTCCCACCTCCCCGGGGAGGAGAATTGAAAAAAGTTAAAATTCATGGGCTGAGATAAGAAGAACAGATTAATAATTGAAAATAGGTAAAATCTAATAATAATAGTAATGAATGTAATGAAAAGGAGAAAGGGAGAGGAATAAAACCCAAGGAAAACAAGTGATGCACAATAAAGTTGTTCACCACCCACTGACTGATGCCCAGCCTGTCCCCGAGCAGCAAACCCACCTTCTGGGTAACTCCCCTCAGTTTATATACTGAGAATGACATTCTGTGGTATGGAATATCCCTTTGGCCAGTTTGGGTCAGCTGTCCCAGTTATGGTCCCTCCCAGCTTCTTGTGCACCTCCCACTGACAGAGCATGAGACACTGAAAAATCCTTGATTTAGAGTAAGCACTGCTGAGCAACATCCAAAACATCAGTGTGTTATCAACATTATTCTTATACTGAATCCAAAGCACAGCACTGTACCAGCTACTAGGAAGAAAATAGTTAATTTTCCAGCTTAAACCAGAACACTGCTTCAGCTATAAATAGTTATACTTTATATTAAAAAAAATAATTATTATTGTTTCTTCCTACTGAAATTTGTTTCAAATATTGATTTCTTATTTTCTTGTTCTATCTTCCTCACACCTTCCTGAACTCTTTAGGACTTCAGCATGCATTTGACAGTGACTGGGAAGCTGGGAAAATCACTTATAACAATTATAAAAATGGATCTGACGATGCTGTTCTGGCTTACAAACTCTTGGTGCAAACAGGCAACCGAGCAAAGCCCATTGACATCAACCAGGTACTGTATCAGAGTCCATGGTGGTGTATACAGGAATGCACAATCCTGTCAGGAGTTGGGGGAGATGCAAGGAAAATGCCATAGCTCCTTTTTTCATCTAGATGAATTGAAATTTCTGAATTGTACTTAATTGTGTAGCCTCACTGACTTTGCTTGAGCTACATGTCAGCTGCAGAGTCTGGCCTGTGTTGAGAAGTATTTAAAATCGATACCAGGAATGCCTGTCCTTGGTGATTATTGGCTGGCATGCTTTAAATGCTGTTCCTATCTCATACACACACACACATATGCAGTTTCCTCTGCGTTTGGTGTGGAAAATGCTACTCTGCATCCTTAGGTAGGTGGAGACTGGTCCTATGCCAGACATACAGCCAATGTTAGCCTTGTTGCTCCAAGTGGCATTGTTCTTGATTTGAATCAGATTTGTTTATAGGGATGACCTTTGCTCAGCCTTTTGCTGTGGCTTTGAATCTAGAACTTGCAATTATTTGGTTAGTTCCTACCAATTTATTCAAAACACACATTTTAAAGAAAGATGTTTACAAATGATAGGGAATGGAAGGGGACTGAGATAACCCTATGCTGTACTATATTACTGTATTGTCATTACTAAATATAGATATACTGTAGTAGAACTGATAAAATACATCTGAACTTCTTTCACAAGGTTATCACAACATATGACTGCTTTTGCTGCTTTTTAGTATTGCATAGGTAGGTGAAATATGCTGGGTTTGACTCCTTATGCCGAAATTTTATTTTAATCCTCTTAAGAAAAAATTGTGCAGGAACCTAGCTTCTCCTCTCCTAGAATCATCGACTCTCTGTGCTTTCAGACAGAAAATAGTCTCTCTAGTGAGTTTTTCAGCAGATCTGCTTATTTTCATTTTTTGCTGACGTTAAAGGTGACAGATTTACGGATTACACTGTTCAGTTACTATGGTGTGTAAAACACATTGCTATATGGCAGCATGCAGCATGCTGTCAGGTTTGAATGATGCTTCAGCTATGAATTTAGCAAAGATGGGGAGCCAAAGGGAAAACCTTTAATGAGATTCTGTTTAGCAGTGTGTACCACACACACTGTGAAACACACATGATTAGACTACAGCTGTTGATACAATTTCCTGTGCCTGGGAGGGAGAAAAGTGTGGTGCACCCACAAGGGCTGAGTATTGTACTATACAATTCCAAAGACAGCTTGAAGACATACAGTTGTTGCATATCCTGTGGATTAATTGAATCCAGATCCTTGGAATCTAGTTGTGAGGTGTGTGTGGGGGGGAGGTTGACTTTTTTTTTAACTGCTGTCACTGCTGTTCTTCATTTCATTAAAAGGACCTGAAACTGGAGCCAAGCCAGAATTTTAAATAAACAAAGCAAACAAAGAAACCCCACAGTAATACTTTGAATCCACAGAGTCCTCTGTCAGAGCTCTAGCTGTGCAGTATTTGGCTGAAGAACCCTAGAAGCATACCACTGCTTTTTACCCCACGGATACATTTGCCAACAGTGACCCAAATAACACATTGCACTTGTCTGGGTTTTTTGGCACTGGACATTTTCTGAAATGCATAGATCATGGGAGACAAGTGTTAGAAAAGTTTATACAGATGTTGTTTTATTTTTATAGCTTTCTATTTACTGTGTGGTATTTTCTTCAATGTTAACAACAGAGGTTAACTGCACACAGGCATGTATAGGGACTCTTGCCAAGTTTTTTTCCCCTTGCTTTAAAATACATTTTTCCAGTTCTGTTGGTTTTCACCCTCAGTTACAGACAGCTTTTTGGAATTCAGATTTAATTGGTTCAATTTGTTCTAGAATTATCTGCTGATTTAGCGGGTATTATAAAAATTCTATAAATATTATTTTATAAATAACTGCTTTCCACTGTTGCTGTAGTTATTTAGATTTTTCTTCATTCTCAAACAATAGTTTTCTGGTAAGTCACTTCAAGTGAAAGTTAATGCTGTTTGTCTTTTTCTTTATCCCCTCCTATATGTGTGTGTCACATCTCTAGGCTTTTTGTCATAAGCTTTGCAGCAAGAGCCCTGAAAGCAAAACTCATTCTGAATGGCTTCTAATCTTTCCATTTTGCAGTTGACTAAACAACGCTTGGTGGATGCAAATGGAATCATTAACCCAAATGCTTTTTACATCTATCTGACAGCCTGGGTTAGCAATGACCCTGTGGCCTATGCTGCCTCACAAGCCAACATCCGGCCTCCCCACCCAGAATGGGTGCATGACAAAGCAGACTATATGCCAGAAACAAGGCTGAGAAGTAAGTAACATTTCATCCTAATGTCTTGTAGTTTATATAGGTGGTCTCAGTCCTTCCTTCAAGACCTAGTAACTCTATAGTTGGGTGATGCTGTATAGGACTCAGAAGCATAAACAGAACAATATATTGGATTACTCTGTAGCCTCAGGAGACAAATGCGGTTGTGGAATCTAGTGTAATGTGGCACAACTGAAGGGTTTTATCGTGTTGAAAAATGAGTTTTATAACAGTTCCTAGCAAAGCTCTAAAAACTTATAATAAGCATTGCTTTTTAATGTTACCTGATAGTTCTGTATGCGAGAGAAACCTGGAGATTGCATGAAATTCCTGAATTTCATCAAAGAGATTACATCATATTTATCCTTATTTTTTAATAGGGAGGAAATTTCATCAAGATAGCTCATATGTATAAGATACCAACACCAGTATGGTACAAGAGCTATTTTGGGGAGAAGTCTGTGTGAGTGGGTGGTCTCCTTTTGTCCCTCCCACTCTATGCTGTTCACTGTTTTGCATCCTGAGCAGTAATGCTGGTTTGCCTTGCTGTGCTTCAGCAATTTTTTGGAAGGATTGCTAGTTGGACACCAGTGGGGAATGGGAAAGGACATGTGGGGGAGGACTGGTGCTCTTGAAAATGTGATTGGGTAACAAGCTAAATGTGCTTTAATATATCCAAACCCTAGGGCAGGTATTCAGTAAAAAGCTGGTGAAGATTACATACATATATTGAAATCTGTAGTTGTTTAATTATATAGAATTGTTTGGGGACTTGATAAAGGCTGTGTTCATCATAAATATAGTAATTTCTGGTATTTAGAGTTTTTAAAGTGTCAGTTGTTCCAAAGATGCAAAATTTTAATTCAACACCTTTAAGCATTCTGCTATAGAGAGCGTCTTGTTAACGATGCTGTCTGTGTATCTCCTTCCCAAACATGTTAAAACATTGCTATCCTTTTCCTAGTTCCAGCAGCTGAGCCCATAGAATATGCTCAGTTTCCTTTCTACCTCAATGGATTGCGTGAAACTTCTGACTTTGTGGAAGCTATCAAGAAAGTGAGAGCTATCTGTAATAACTATGCTGGCCTGGGGATTGCCAGCTACCCAAATGGCTATCCATTTCTATTTTGGGAGCAGTATATTGGACTTCGTCACTGGCTCCTCTTATCCATTACTGTGGTTTTGGCTTGCACATTTCTGGTGTGTGCCCTCTTCCTCCTGAACCCTTGGACATCTGGCATCATTGTAAGTTTATTATAAGGGTCTTTGTTGAAGTCAAATTCCTTTCAGCATAGCTCTTGCTATAATCAGGAAGGTTTTGTTTATGTCTGGGCCTCTAATGGAGTATGTATATTGCATCATTCATTATATATTTATTCAACTTGAGGGGGTAGAGTTCATGCTAAAGATACAAACCTTCAAAACCTTTGTCCACCTTAATAACCTTTGTCCTTTGTCCACCTTTTTGCAGCTTTAAAGGTTTTGTTATTAGGATACATGAATTTTTACCCTTGTTCAGATGCCCATTAACATGAGAAATAAGACACAGAGGAAAATTAGGAATGTTAATAAAGTTATTTCTATTTAGTTTTTCCTTCCTCTTTTTTATCAGAAAATGTTATTTTTCAAGGCAGTTGCTTGTGACTAACTTGCCTGTAAATTTGCCCACTGCTTTCCAAATGCAGTCTTTCTGGAAAGACTGAAATGGTTAGGTTGTACAGTACACACTGAGAAAAGAGTGTGACTGGGCTATTGAGGAAAAAGAGTTATAAAATTATAAGTTGAAGAGAATACTCCTCCATGCTTTCTGCAAGGTACTGTAAACCTCATAGTAAACATTCAAGTTAATTTGGATTATGATGTTCCTATGTTTAAATTCCATAAACTGTTGTATGGTTAATGTGTTGTCTCAGTTTGAAGAGACTGGAATGCTTGCTAAAGAGGATGAGTTATGAGATAGACCAAACTTCACTCTCTCAGCAATTGTAAATTCAAAATTAAGGGGCTTTAATTGAGGAAATGTGGAAAAACAGAGGAAATAACAACCCTTTATCAAAAGATATATATATGTTAACAAAACAGTAACAGAGCACAAACAAAAAAAAACCCCAGACAGTAGTCCTGTACCCAAAAGTCTGAATGAATACTTCTCTGTCCTTTAGCGCAGTCCTAATCGTGACCTGCAGGGGGCGCTGATGAGTCACTGAAGGTGCAGAGCCTGCAGTTCTCTGTTGTGGTCAGCAGGGGGTGCTGTTGGCCTCTGACGGTCACCACGCGGGGAGAGGGGTCTGGGGGTTGCTCTCGGGTCGGGGGGGGAAGCTGAGAAGAAGATGGGGGGACCCTTCCCTTAATGGGAGGAAAAAGGGAAGGGAGGCAGTTCACTCCCACGGGACTCACTGTTGTCTCAGGTGACAGTGTCTCAAAACTCCTCCCTTCTCTCCCATGGGCACGCAACTCTCCGATGAAACACAGCAGATCCGGGCTGTGAGCCGAGCCGAGCTGACTAGGCTGAGAAGCCAAAAAAGCCAGATCTCCAGTCCTTCTCCCCAAATGCCTGCAACCAGACCCCTGTCTCTGTCCGAGAGCCAGAGAGCTCCCCGTCCCCAGCTGTCCTCCGTCCAGGCGGCCAGCTCCCCCAAACCCCAGAACTTCTCCCTTCTCCCCCCAACCCCTGAATGGGCCATGAGCTAGGAATTGACTTTTGCTGGCCAGGCCTTTTGTAAAGCTAGTTTACTCCCCTTCCCCCCACTTACTCCGTTTTTCTCAGAGTGGAGCAGGGGGAAGAAAAATTCCAGTCTTGGATTTTATAACCTATAACGTGTATGGTTTTATAAATGTTGTGTGGTTTAGAAAAGTGTAAAACAATTACTAGTTTTTGTATTATACATTTATATGGCAAGTATGTTAAAAGGTAAACGTTTAGTCTAGAATATTTTTCATAGCACTGAATCAAGCAATTTATGTTACCTTTTTGATTCATTAGCTTATAAAATAATTTATTATAGTGCATACTTTTATCCCTTGGAAAGGTGGTTTATTTTCAGAGTCTGCCATTGCTTTTATAAGTTTGTCTCTTTTTCCTGCTTGGCTTTAGAAACTTTGAAGTCAATTTCATGGATTTCCTCCCCTCCCTTATTATTTTTTACAAGGTAGATGAAAGAAAAATAAAAGCTTTCCCTTAGGTTTAACTGTTTGCATTGTCCATATCAATCCCTTCAAGTATCTTTAAAGCTCAAAGGCTCTCTGTAACCTGAGACTCATCAGCTAATTATGACATTCACCTTCTTCTGGCCTTTAAACCTATTCTGGAGTTATCCTCACTTACATTTGGAGTACTACAAAAAGAATTCCAATGCAGTTATTTGAAAGTTAGTTTTTCTAGAAGGATTTTCAGAGAAAGAGGTGAAAAAGAGAAAATTTATGTTCCAGTGAGTATCCATGAGAAGGAAGAAAAAAATTACTTTTCAAATCACATTGATAAATTGTTACCAATAGAAAAGTGATGCTTGATCTCTTAATTGGATCTTTGGATAATAATTTAAACTGACTCTTTAGAGGGTCATTGCTATTGAGCACAATGAAACAAGGAAAAATGGCTTGTCTTTGGGGATAAGAGAAGGACTGATCTGAGTGATATATTTTGTAGTCCCCATGTTGTTTTGTAATATCCTTCTTCTTCATTTGTCTAGAGTATGAGAAGTTACTAATGACTGTTTGAAATCATTTAGGTGGTGGTGCTGGCTCTGATGACTGTGGAGCTGTTTGGCATGATGGGTCTAATTGGAATAAAGCTGAGTGCAGTGCCTGTGGTTATCCTGGTTGCTTCTGTTGGCATTGGTGTGGAATTCACTGTTCATATTGCTTTGGTATGTAAAACTAGAAAGCATTTTCAAAGTATTTTAAAATAAAATGGTAACTTATGATTCCAAATCCTTACTTAAACTCCTAAGTCACTGACATGATTTTCAGAAGAGTATCAGTCATAAACCTTGCATAAAGTTTTGTGTGCCATTTGGATTGTCCTGGTAGAGTACATCTTATCTGAAGAAATTGTTCCTAACTGCTGAGTCAGTCTCCTAGAAGATAAGACGGAACGCATAACAGTATTTTAATATTAACAATGCTTTTTGAAGACTGTGATTAAGATCATGGGTAAATGTGGTTTCTGGTTGTGTGAGACATACAAATACATAGTGAGCAAGTTAGAGCTGGCTTCCCACCAAGTCTGCAAAACTTAGCGAAAGCCCTTCCCCTCCCTCCCCCTTTAGGCAAAGGGAAAAAAAACTATAGAAACTGAGAGAAATCAAAACCAACGGAATTATACCAAAATATATGTGTATTTTTACATATATTACAGTTATATACAGTAAGGATATTATGTACAACTCCCAAGAAGGGGAAGAGGGGAAGGGAAAATGGGAAAAAGGGACAAAAAGGGACAAAAAAGAAGAAAACAAAACAAATATGCACAATCGAAAAACCTGGTAACCAGCAAAATAAAGAACTAGCAAAATCTCACCACTTCCCTTGAGAAAAGCAGGACAGCCAGACCCGGCCCAGCACTCTCCCCTCACGCATGGCAGACAACAGCAGTTGCTGCAGGCCTCAGCTCCAGATAAGCAAGACGCACGTAGGGACCTACTGTTCCCAAACTTCGCCAGAAGAGAAGAGAGCGAGGTCTCTTATCTCCGCCTTATTTATATGTTGTGTTACGCTAAAGGATGATATGGAATACTTCCTTAGATTTCTGACCCCGTTGCTAAGGAAGGCCTAAAAAATCCAAAAGCCAACCCACTACACATAGACAAAGCAGTGCTCTTAATATTCATTATTTTAGGCTTCACTCTCTCATTCATCATCTGCAGCCTCACTGTTGTTGACACTGTCCTATGTAGTTTTTTTATTCCCTCTTGTGTGTAGATTCTGTATCTTGTGGTAAAGAAACCTTCAAAGGGAGATATTCAAAATGATATCATGTCATTTAATCTCTCTGGAACACTAAAATTTGAATGATTTCAATTCTTCATGGGAAAAATCACCTTCTTTTCAAAACCCATATCTATTAATATTGGGCTCAAATGTGCAATCTGTAGGGAAAGAGTTGTCCGATGTAATAAAGAGAAGCAGAGAGGAAAAATGTTTGAATGTTTTATATAAACATTTTCAAGAGTTTCAAAGTTAGGTGTTCAAATCTAGAGTGCACTTAATCATCCAACTTAGTCAACCTGATGTACAGAAATGCAGAGAAATGACAGTTTTTTTGCAAGGGAGCAGTTGTGGATGCTCGTTATGCAAAACTCACCCTGCTTTATTTGGTGACCAAGACTGGATGGAGTAAAGGGCTCTTTTTCTGTCTGGCTCTGTGGCCTCCTTTTACTAAACTAGGTAAAAGTTCAGGGTATCTAGGCTTGCAGCCTAAGGCTTCAGCAAATTTAGTTACTAATGCTAAGCAAGTTATGCTAAAAAAAACCTTTAAAGATCATCAAGTCCAAACCCCCTGCAATGGACAGATTATGTTGCTAAAAGCCCATTCCAACCTGACCTTGAAAACTTCCAATGATGGGGCATCCACAACTTCTCTGAGCAACCTTTTTCAGTGTCTCACCACCCTCATCGTAAAGCATTTTTCCTTATATACAATCCAGATCTACCCTCTTTCAATTTAAAATGGTTGCCCCTTGTCCTGTCACTGCAGACCTTGGTAAAATGTCTCTCTCCACCTTTCTTTTAAGCCCCCTTTATATATTGAAAGGCCACTATAAGGAGGCCCTGGAGCCTTCTATTTTCCATGCTGAACAATCCCAACTCTCTCAGCCTGTCTTCATTGGATAGGTGTTCTAACCCTCTGACCATGTTTGTGGTCCTCTTCTGGACCCACTTTAACAGGTCCATGACTTTCTTGTGCTGGGGACCTCAGAGCTGGATGCAGTACTCCAGATGGGGTCTCATGAGAACAGAGTAGAGGGGCAGAATCACCTCCCTCAACCTGCTGGCCATGCTGCTTTTGATGCAGCCCAGGATATGATTGGCTTTCTGGACTGCAAGTGCACATTGCCAGTTCATATCTAATTTTTCATCTACCACCATCCATAAGTCCTTCTCTACAGATCTGCTGTCAATCCATTCATCCATCAGTCTGTATCAATATTGGGGATTGCCCTGACCCAGGTGAAGAACCTTGCATTAATATTTAGAGGGTTTGCACAATTTCTTTTCAAGGTTTAAATGAGAACCACTCTAGATAACAAATGATAACTAAAACACAGTCCAGAATTGTATGAATATTCACACTCTTTTTCTCTCTTAATGGGAAAAACACCTCTGTCTGCTTGGGATCAGTCTGCAGACTGTGTCTCTCCTCCTCTCCTGAAGGGACGTATTTAGGTGAGCTTTGCGCTTCCAACTGCGTTTGAGCAGACCCGGGAATATTCATTTTTGTATACATATATATATAGTGCTAATAGATCTCTGTGACTATACTTTCTGTCGTGACGCATATTAACACTCTGTAGTTAGTGCATTTATTACTGGCAATCCTGAACCTGCTTTCCTGTTGCTTCAATAAACCATACTATGCGTGAACCTGGATTGTGCAGGTCTTTAATGAATGCTATCGGACCTATAGTACTGGATTGGTAAATTGCATTATCAGTGCATCTGTGCTCGTGCAAGTTCTTTCAAACTCAACTAGACTTACAGTGTGAAATTGGCTATAATGAGAAATTAAGCCCAGCCACACCCAGCCCCTCTGATCTCTGAGGACCAGCTGGAAAGCAAGGGGATTTATTTTCTTCCAAATTTCTATACCCTTAATGCAACACATAGAAATCACTACAATTGCATGATTGTATCTGCATAGTTGACCAGTATACAAAAAAAAGGATTCTACAAAGAACAAAATCCATAACCAATAAGTTATAATATATTCATGTTAGCATTTCTGTCATTGTTCTTTTCTGCCATGGGGTTTTCAAGGAAAAGTATACACCATAATCACATTTCAGCAGTGTTCTAAAACATAATGCTATCATTGTTGCGTATAAACTCTTTAAAAATATACTTCCGTCAAATGGCTAATTGACTTCTATGTACACTACAAAAATAAATTTTAACATAAATAAATTACATGGCATAATTTTATCTTTGTAACTGAAATGAAACAAACCCACTCCTACCAAACAGACAAGTGATGAGACCCAGTTTGAATATTTTTTCTTTTAACTCCTTATGCTAAAAGCTATGATGAGTCTTTAATGTGTTATATACTCTTTCTTATTTAACATTAGTAAGCACTCTATACAAATAAAAATGCATTAAAAAGGAAAAACATAGCGGCAATAGTGTTTCCAATAGAAATAAAGTCCCTGTATTTTGTTTGGTATAAACTGTCATGTCAAATACTGTAAGAAAACATTCTTATGATACAAAAATATAAATATCATTCACAATTAAAACGGTTTTAAAAATCCCCAAAGCAAACCAAAATAAATGTTGTCAGCCACAGAGTTCTCCCTTTGTCAATGTGACTATCAAAGCGTGAAGCAGCAGACAGGTCACCTGCACATAACATGCAGGACAAGGAATTGGGCAGGGACAGAAAAAAGATGGAGAAAGATGAAGAGAGAGAGAATGAGAACTTTTGTTCTAGTATTTTAAATTAAGGTTCTTCATTCTTATGCTTTGGTTTCAGACAGAACACACAGATTGTAGCATTTTTTCAGGCTCTTCACTTGCACCAATCCATCTTAGATTAAAAAAAAACAAAAAACCCCTAAATTAGTTTCACAAAGAGATCCCAATTTAGCTGTTTTAATTAAAAGTGCCAATGCAGTGTGGGAAAAACAATCAAATCAACAGAGAAAAAGTGTCATTCATTAGTTCTGGATCCAACAGAAAGTCATTTATATTTAATGAGGAAAAATATAAGGGTTATTTTTAATTCTTCCATTTGATTTTTCTCACTTACTTTAACTTCTTTCCTGCCATTAAAATAAGGCGACAGAGGATACTGCTTTGAATGCTATAAGGAGACAGCTGAACTGTGGCTTACCAAGAAAAAACTAGATTATTTAGCTTCTGATGCCACTCATAGTTAACAGTATCAATATCAAAATAAGGCATACTGTAATAGTTTTGAGTCTTAGGCCTTCCTTCCTGGCAACCAAGGAAGTATTCCACTCTATCCCTTTACGTAAACAGAGGTATAAATATGAGGGGAGGAGAGATCAAGGCTCTCTTCTCTTCCGGCGAGGTCTGGAGGCAACAGGTTCCCTGCGGCCGGCTCTGCTCGTGTGGGAGTGAGGCCTGGTCAGGCCTATTGTTTCTCTTTCCAATCCAGGAAGTGGTCTGGTGGCGTGACCTGATTCCATTTTCTCAAGGGAAGTACTGAGATTTCATTTTGCTAGTTCTTTATTTTGCTACTTCCCAGGTTTTGATTGTGCATATTTGTCTTGTTTTTTTTCTTTTTGTCCCTTTTCCCTTTTTCCCTTTCCCTTTTCGGGGAGGTGTTTGGGGTTCCTTTGTTTATATGTACATAGTATTCTCACTGTATATAACTGTGATATATGTCAAATATATATTTTTACTATAGCTCTGCTATTTGGGGGGTTGTTTTCCTCTCTGGGAAGGAAGGTTTTTTTTCACTGGGTCTTGGGGACTTGGCAGGAAGCCAGGTCCAAACTTACTCACATGCGCTCCTTGAATTTCTATAACCACCAGCACCTCTCAATATTCAGTACATTTTGAAGTGAAAAAAGAATGATTATAGTGTTTGCACGCGCTTGGCACCGTTTATGAAAAATGTCAAAACACTTTTGCAAACAGTAATTAAGCCTCACAACTCTCCTGGGAAGTAGATAAGTACAATTATGCCCATTTTCCTGACAGAGAAACTGAGGCACGGGGCAGTTGCATGACTTGACCAAAATCACATGTACCAAGTCATTAATTGAGTGGGAAACTGAACCACACTCCCAAACTCTGACTTCCTGTCCTCTATTTTATCTTGGCCCTTTGATGATGGTCGTCTATGGTACGTTAGTAAACACCAGTGCAGTTTTCACTAGTGCCTACTAACAGGGAAAGGCAGACTCACACCAACATCAGTGGGTTCATAAGCCCATTAAGGGTTACCATACAGTAAAAGAGAAACTACAGTACACTGGGAACGTACACACACTGACAGGCACACTTCGAGATGCACACATCAATACACACAGCAAAACAAAACCTGCACACAGCTAAACCTATTTAAGTCTCCGAGATTGACATATTTACTTCATATCTGCTTATTTTTAAAAAATATTGCACATAGCATGTTTGAAAATTAACAGTAACATTTCATACTACCACAGTTTGTGATATGCAAATTTAAAATATTTCAAACAAACATGTACCTTTACAGAAAAAATTCTATTACATAAGCAATATTTGCATTGAATTATACAAGTAAATCATACAATATTTAAGCAGCAGAGACTTAAGCTGAAATTTAGACCTAGATAAAGTTTACTTGTGGCAAAGAGATGAAAGTACAGTAAGTACGGAGCAAACCCAATATTGTCCCCACTCTATTAAGTGGAGGCAAATTACTCCAGATTATACTGCTTTACGATGTTCTTTTGTATACTACATATGTGTGTACTTCTTCAAATATTTATAGATATATTTTACAAAATAATACAATAGGTTACAGTAACACTGAATTGTCCTGATGCAGTATGTCCTTTCTCACAACTTAGAGCAGTACTTCTCTTCAAGCAGTTCTGGAAATACAGCTTTCCATCTTTGGCATCTTCTGTGCTTCAGTTATTACCCTTTACAAATACAAAGGAAAAAAATCAAAACATTAATCAAAGTTCAAGAAAATGAAACAAATTAAGCTAACCCAACACTCATTTCATGATTCTTGTGGTTACAGTTAGCAGTCAGGCATGATGTTTCTCTTTTTCCAGTCACTGGGGACTTTGTCTGACTGCCATGGCTTTTCAAATATGTGTGACTTGACAACTACATCGGTTAATTCCCTCAGGACCCTGGGATGCATCTCGCCGGGTCCCATGGTTCAGGCTCCTCAGGCGGTCTCGAACCTGATCTTCTCCTACGATGGGTAGGACTTCCTTCCCTCAATCGCTGCCTTGAGATTCAGAGACTTGAGAGATGTGGGAAGAGAGATTGCCATTGAAAACAGAAGCAAAAAAGTCGTTGAGGACCTCAGCCTCCTCCACGTAGGTTGTCACCAGATCCCCTATTTATCAGGGGGGATACAATTTATTTTGCCTTCCTTTTCTGACTAACATACCTGTAGAAGCCCTTCTTATTATTCTTCACATCCCTTGCCAAATTTAGCTCCAACTGTGCCTTAGCATTCCTGATCCCATCCCTACACATCTGGACAGCGTCCCTATTATCTTCCCAGGATGTGTGCCCCTGCTCCCACTGCCCTCTTGTGTTTCAGTTTGATCAGGAGGTCCTTACTCAGACATGCTACTCTCCTGCCTTCCTTGTCTGATCTCTTGCACATGGGAATTGATAGTTCTTGTGCCCTAAGAAAAATGTCTTTAAATAGCTGCCAGCTCTATTCAGCTCTTTTATCCCTGAGAGCAGTTTCCCAGGGGGTCCCATTCACCAGTCCCTTGAACAGCTGAAAAAAAAATCCAAACATCAATCAAAGTTCAAGAAAAAGAAAGAAATCAAGCTAATCCAACACTCAGTTAGCAGTCAGGCAATGTGGACTTTTTTTCCATCAGTCATGGACTTCTTGGTAAAGAAATCCTGATGCCAATCAAAAAAGTTGGATGCCTTGATTTCTGAATGCCACAAATTCAGTCAAAACCAATGGACACTTCAAAGAGAAAAAAGCTGTATCTGATACTGGACACAGTTAAGATTCTCATATTAGCCTGCTGTTCAGCTTGGAAAATCTGAGCCCAAACATTTATTTATTCTGAGGATACTATTACTTACTACATTCCTAGACTTTGAGTATAAATGCATTCAGGTTTATTTGCTCTTTGAGATGTTTGGAGAGAAGTTTTATAAATCAGAAGGTGGTTTTATCAGGAATCATCAAAAGTTTCCATCAAAATTCCACACGTATATGCATGTGTATGTGCATATGTGTGTGTAAAATATTTCTGCAACCAAAATAAACTGGCTTGCTTTGGTCAAACTAGTGTCTGCCACTGAAAAGCTGTGAAAAGCAGAGCAAGAAAATAGGGACCAAGAGCTAAGTAAGGATTTAGCACTTCTGGTTTTTTCCCCCAAATGAGGGGGGGAAAAGCAGTTAAAATAATTAAATTGGTTTTCAACCACAAGCCCTAAAAAACTTTAGGGGTAAAAAGTCAATTAATTTCTCCCCTTCAAAGCATTCTCCATAAAATAAATTGATTTTTTTTCCCAAGAAAATAAACAAACAGCTTTAGTCTTCCCCAAACAGCTAAAATCATTGAATGATTGAATGTTTTGGGTAGGAAGGGACCATAAAGGTCATCTAGTTCCAACGCCCCTGCCATGGGCAGGGACACCTTCCATTAGACCAGGTTTCTCAGGACCCCATCCAACGTGGCCTTGAACACTTCCAGGGATGGGGCACCCACACCTTCTCTGGGCAGCCTGTTCCAGTGCTTTGCCACCCTCAATGTAAAGAAGTTCTTCCTCATGTTGAGGTGGAACCTCCCGTGTTTTAGTTTATGGCCATTGCTCCTCGTCCTGTGGTTGGGCACCACTGAAAAGAGTCTGGCACCATCCTCTTGGCGCCTGCCTTTGAGATATTTATATGCATTAATGAGATCCCCTCTCAGTCTTCTCTTCTCTAGACTAACCAGGCCCACCTCCCACAGTCTCTCCTCATAAGAGAGATGCTCCAGATTCCTCATCATCTTTGTGGCCCTCCACTGGACCCTCTCCAGTAGCTCCTTGTCTTTCTTGTACTGAGGAACCCAGAACTGGACACAGTACTCCAGATGTGGCCTCACTAGGGCCGAGTAGAGGGGGCAGGATCACCTTCCTCGACCTGCTGGCCACACTCTTCCCAATCCACCCCAGGATACCATTGGCCCTCCTGGCTGCAAGGGCACACTGACAGCTCATGGCCAACTTGCCATCCACCAAGACTCCCAGGGCCTTCTCAGCAGAACTACTCTCTAGGAGGTCAGCCCCCAACCTGTCCTGGTACTTGGGGTTATTTCTCCCCAGGTGCAGGACCCTACACTTGCCCTTGTTGAACCTCATTAGGTTTCTCTCCACACAACTCTCCAACCTATCAAGGTCCTGCTGAACGGCAGCACAACCTTCAGGTGTATCAGCCACTCCCCCCCAGTTTCATATCATCAGCAAACTTGCTGAGGGTGCATTCGATCCCTCCATCCAGGTTGTTGATAAACAAGTTGAATAAGGCTGGACCCAGTATTGATCCCTGGGGAACACCACTGACTACAGGCCTCCAACTGGATTCTACTCTGATGATCACAACCCTCTGAGCTCTGCCATTCAGCCAGTTCTTGATCCATCTCACTGTCCATTCATCTAACCCACATTTCCTGAGCTTACCTACGAGGATGTTATGGGAGACAGCATCAAAAGCCTTGCTGAATTAGACAACATCCACTGCTCTCCCCTCGTTGACCCATCCTGCCATGCCATCACCCAGATTAGGGTTATTCTCAATGCACTCCAAGATGCTCCTAGACTGCTTGCATCTTGCTGTGACACTTTTACAGTGGATATCAGGGTGGTTGAAGTCCCCCAGCAGGATCAGAGCCTGCAATCATGATGCTTCCTATAGTTGAAGCCAGAATGCTTCATCAAAATCCTCCCCTTGATAAGGTGGCCTGTAGTAAACACCAACCACAAGGTTTCCTTTGTTGGCTTGATCTCTAATTTTCACCCATAAGCTCTCAACCTGTGTACTGCTGGTTTTCAAAGACAGCTTTGTGCAATTAATCCATTTTTTTCACATAGAGGGCAATCTCTCCTCCCCACCCCTCCTTCCTGAACGTGAGCCAGCAGTGTGCCCAGGTGACCAAGAGGGCCAACGGCATCCTTGCTTGTATCAGAAATAGTGTGGCCAGTAGGGCTAGGGAAGTGATTCTCCCCCTGTACTCAGCACTGGTGAGGTCGCACCTCGAGTGCTGTGTTCAGTTTTGGGTCCCTCACTACAAGAAAGACATTGATGCACTGGAGCAAGTCCAGAGAAGGGCAACAAAGCTGGTGAAGAGTCTGGAGCACAAGTCTTTGAGGAGCGGCTGAGGGAGCTGGGGTTGTTTAGCCTGGAGAAGAGGAGGCTCAGGGGAGACCTTATCACCCTCTGCAACTGCATGAAAGGAGGCTGTAGTGAGGTGGGGGTTGACCTTTTCTCTCAGGTAACAAGTGACAGGACAAGAGGAAATGGCCTCAAGTTGCTCATGGGGAGGATTTAGATTGGATATTAGGAAAAAATTTCTTCACGGAAAGAGCTGTAAAGCATTGGAACACATTGCCCAGGGAAGTGGTAGAGTCACCATCCCTGGAAGTGTTCAAAAAACATGTGGCTATGGCACTTGAGGACATGGTTTAGTGGTGCATGTGGTGGTGGTCCCAGGTCGATGGTTGGACTTGATGATCCTAAAGGTCTTTTCCGACCTTAACGATTCTATGATTCTATGATTCCTTGCCTGGCTCTCGTGAGCAGTTTGTAGCCATCGACTGCAGCGCTCCAATCATGTGATTCATCCCACCAAGTTTCAGTGATAGCGATCAGATCATAGCTTTCCAGCTGCACAGTGGCTTCCAGCTCCTCCTGTTTGTTACCCCTGATGTGTGCATTGCTGTAGGGACATTTCAGTTGGACCGTCGGCTGTCTCATCTTTTTGGAGGGTTGAGGAGCATTCCTCACTACTCTGGTAGGTGTGCTCACGCACCTTGTTGCTTGTGAGTACAACAAATGTTACAGCTTTGGACACTGCCCTACCCCCACCCCCCAAGTTCCTTAGTTTAAAGCACGATTCACTAAGTCAACCAATCTGCCATCAAAGATTCCCCTGCCTCTTCCAGATAGGTGGATCCCATCTCTCCTCAATAGGCTGTATTCATCGAAGAACATCCTGTGATCATAGAAGCCAAAACGCTGGGGACAACACCGGCCACCAAGCCAGGTGTTGATCTGCATAATGTGTCGACTTCTGCCCACACCCTTATCCCCGACTGACAAGACAGAGGAGAAGATCGCTTGGGCCCCTGTCCCCTTCACTTGTGCCCCCAGAGCTCTCAAGTCCTTCTTGATCTTGCCCAGGCTATGCTTTACCATGTCTTTGGTGCCCATGTGGAAAAGAAGCAGGGGATAGTAGTCTGTGCTTTTAGCCAGTTGTGGCAGCCTCTCTGTGACATCCTGGATCTTGGCTCCTGGCAAACAGCAAACTTCCCTTGACTGTATATCAGGCCAGCTGATGCATGTGCCTCAGTGCCTCTCAGCAGATTCACCTGCTACTAGCATTCGCCGCTTTCTTTTGCCATTTGTAGTGTGTGCAACTGGTGCAGTTTCTCCCTGTGAGACTTGTTCATTGGCTTCGCCAACTGCCAAGACTTCGTATCTGTTGCTGGTTGGTACATACAAGGAAACAGGGGGGAGAAGTGATATCCTGATGGCACAAGTCACCAGAGACCATGGTGCCTCCTTCTCCAAGGTGCTGTTTGTTCGCTGTTGACGCTCTGCCTGGTAGTCCTTGGAGGTCAGTGCCAAGGGGTCCTAGTATTTCTTCTTGCAAAGTCTCGAATAATTATCTATTTCTTGTTCCCCCTTCCTAATAGAGTGTAACCTGCTGACTCCCTCCTTCAACTCCTCCACCTGCTGCCTGAGTGACTCCACCAGAGCACACCTTCCACAGGTGGAGCTTGCACCCTCCTCTACACAGAGGTGTGGGGTACAGACTTTACAGCCCTCCACCTGGACAGCAGCTTCCATGATAGGAAGCTCTGTCTGGGTGGCTGGCTCCACTCATCCCAGGCTAGCCTGGCTAGGTAGATGGTCCCCGGCTGCTGCAGAGCGCAGCCCTCACCAGGTCTCTGCCACCATGCTTCCAATGATCCCAAAGCACTGCCTAATAAGCCCTTCCAATTTCCTGGAAACCTCAAGCTGCGGGGTACGTTTGCACAGCCAACAGCTAGTTGGGATGATCATTGGGGCCACAGCCGAAGACTGTGGCTGAGCAGAGTAACTGGTAGAGTGCACTGCCCTTTTCAGGTGCCCTTCCATGCAAACTTCCACACTGCTCCTCTCAGATGACACTCCCTGTTTGCACACCCCGTTTGCATCGCTCCTGGTCGCTGGAGCTCCCTAGGGGCTGGTTATATGTGACTTCCCAAGGTTTGAACTGGTTGCGGGGACAGCTGGCCCCACCTGGCATCTACATGTTGTAGATGAGGTACACAGTTGGGCACATATAGTGCTGCTAGCTAGTATGCTATATGGTTGGTCACAGTATAGTGCTGCTCGGTCTGAAGTAGAAAAAGTTGCAAAAACATTCATCTTGAGCAAAATAGGAATGCAAAAAAGCAGCACACAACTTAGCAGTGTTACTTTATCCTGGTCCTGTTGAATACACTGGCAACTTTCCATCAGTTGAGTGCTTATTGTGTATAATATCTGATAGTGTGGATCCTCAGACCTGTGAGGAGAAATGCACTGTATCAGTGGACACTTCTGTGTGAAGTGACAGAAAGACCTGATCCACTAGTAAATGCTACCATGGATGTGACTGTGTGCGTGAGCAAAAGTTGCAAGTCCCCGGTCTGTTCCAAATGTAGTCAGGAAAACCTGAATCGGTATTGGCTAGTTTTACAGCAAAGTTCTCATGACAGTCATGGAAGCTATGTCCTCGTGAGAGTGACAAGAATAACCCTATAATTTTTACACCTGAGGTGCTTTTACTATAACATGAATTCTTTGCGTGCAGAAACAAGCAAACCAAGAAACAAATGAAAAGCCTGCCAGTGTAGGCGTGCATTGTTTCCAAAATTATTACTACGGCTCTGACTGTAATCAATGCTTACTCTGGTCATGTGACTTCAGCAGCAGCTATATGGTATGACTGCACGATCAGACCTTGTCTTGAAGTCTAGCCAGCTATAGAGATACTTTAATGGACTGTAAATTGAAGTAATTAACCGGTGAAAAACTGCATACTAAGAGAGAGGCTGTTTGAAAGACTACACGTCTCTCTAATGAAATGGATTTCATTGTTTTATAGGCATTTTTAACTGCCGTAGGAGACAAGAACCGTAGGGCTGTCCTTGCGTTGGAACATATGTTTGCACCAGTGTTGGACGGAGCTGTGTCCACTCTGTTTGGAGTGTTAATGCTTGCAGGATCGGAGTTTGATTTTATTGTCAGGTAAAGCATTTGCATGCTTTGACTTTTTTTTTTTAAATAAAAATAAGTACACTTTTATATTTAGACATTTCAGTGTATCTGTCATTTTATTACCGTGTATGGTGTGTCAAGCATGTGTCATCATGGTCCTGTTTTCCCAAGGAGTTCTATTAACTCCTTGTCACATGTTGGACACAGTAGTATTTTCATTGCTGGTATTAAGATCTGTTCCAGGAAAATCTGACTCCCAGCATGAAAGGAAACAAAAATGACCCTCTTCAGCAAAGTTTTCTAATTCTGGAATTAAGCCAGTTTGAAGCAGCTAGTATTGTCCAATATTAGCTAGATTTTACCTTTAACCTTCCAGATATAGGTCAGGTCTGCCAGATTTTTCATACGCACAATGATTTGCCTGGAAAGGACACATGGAGTCAGCCCTCTCTGGGCCTTCTCTTGCTATCTTTATATGAGGCTTACAACAATTTATAAATGGGTGAGGGAAAAAGCCCTGTTTGGGAGCTAGGGAACTATAAGTATGAACGCAGAACTTCAATATTAAAATTCTGTAAAGCAAAGTCCAAAGGTTCTTCTGTTTAGAACTACAGGCACAGTTTCTCGTGAATTTAATTAAGAACGTGAATTTGTCAAGTATGAGAGGAGAGCAAATTTTTTCTTTTGAGGGGAATTTGAGAAGTACAATGAAACAGAACCTAATCCATTCCAAATAACCAGTAGAGCTCTGCAAAATCACTAATCTTAGAAGTGACACGGGTTCTTTGTGGCAAACTGCAGCACAAAAAAACCCCAAAACTAAATCATAGACCTAAAACAGAACTGAGGTAGAATTGGGCCAAATAAAAATGATCTGAAAGATGACTTAACTGCTTAAGTAAACATAAACTGGATAGGGGATCAGACTTAGCTGACATCCATCTGACGACAACAACAACAAAATCATAGAATCATAGAATATGCTGAGTTGGAAGGAACCCATCAGGATCATCAAGTCCAACTCCTGG